AGAAAGCTGGAATCCGACTTATAACGAAGAAGTTATGACCCGTTGAAGTTTCGCGATTTAAACCGGCACGACTCTGCGTAACGTAAAAAATAATTTTTTCATAAATTACTTTTTAGCTTTAGTAATCTAAACAAAATTCGTAATAGTCGTTAAACCGAGAGCGTGCATATAAAGAACGTTAAAATCTGACTTCATTTGAGGAACTTATGATTTTTCTAACATTCAGCGTAGCAGTTGTTTTGGTAAAAAATCGACTAGATGGATATCAACCAAATTGCATGAGAGGATGTGGTGTTGTTATTAATGTGAATATGGAATTGAAATCAAAATAACACAGGAGGTTTACAAGGAAAGTCGTTGATCCTTGCTATGATCTCCAACATAAAACATTGAGAGGTGATAATGATCACCTGCCTTGTATGATCTTATTGATTTGAACATAAATTACAGAGATGAGCTTGATAATGCTATTACAAATGATAAAGTGAGTCTAGATGAGTAAGGTGTCAAAAAATTGTCTCTGTTGTGTGTGTTTTACAAGTGTATTTATAGTCTAGGTTAAGTAACTAAATGTCTGATATTTTCGGGATCCTGTTGAGTTGGTATTTACAACGTGTTTTGACTTAGTATTTCCGGGTCTTAAGCCTGATTGGATTGATTCTTCTGGTTTTTTTATTTTTTATTTTTTTTATTTTTAAGGACTGATTTCTACCTTTGGGCTTATGGTGTGATACTGGTCTAATATGAGATGAGTTCTATCATATACCTTCTTTTGTGAAAGAAAAGAAAAAATAATATGTTATGTTTTAGTATTTTTATTGTACAAGAGTATTACTATTTGCCAATGCACATGATAAGCAACATCAAGGTGCAATACCTCAAGGATCTCATTTAGTATTTATCCACTTCGAAAATACTGCAACAAAGTCCACTTTGAAACTATCAAGCCTCTCATTTAGAATTTGAATTATGCTAAAATTCTGTAAAAACCACTATAACTTCGATTTTATCTGATTTAGGGCGTGTTTGGCAAAAGTAGCTGTTAGCTGGTAGCTGGTAACGTGTAGCAGGTAGCCGGTAGCGGGAAGCTGTAGCTTTTATTTGTTATATGAATGTTTGGCAAAAGTAGCTGGAAGTTTTTGAAATATATAAAATTACATAAAAGGACAATTGATTAAAAATAAATAAATATAAAAATATATTTTTAAGGGTAATTATGGAAATTGATTTCAAAAGCTTAGGAGCGTTTTGTTAAACGCTACATGAAGTAGCTTTTAGAATAAGAACGTTTTGTTAAAACTAAAAGCTAAACGCTCGTACTGCCAAACGAAGCTTTTTGTTTAAACTAGAGCGTTTTATCAAAAGCTAGAAGCTAGAAGCTCCCAAACGCTTACAAAAGCTCCGTGCCAAACACACCCTTACTATTGAAAGATTTTTGAACTGCTGGGAGTTTGTATTTTTTTTTCAAAAAAAATACGCTCTACGTTTTTTCCGTTAGTGAATTGCAAGTAACAAAACAAAAGATTAGTTTTTTAGGGAATTATTTTTTTTTTTTTTGAAAAAAAATTCAAACTTTTTGATGGTTAAATGGACAAAAAAAAATTCTTTTAAGTGGTTAAACCAAACAATTTTCAATTTTCACGGCTTTTATAGAATTGAAAGTTTTATGTAGTATTTAAAAAAATTATAATAACCGGTGTTATCCCTCTTTTTAGATCTCATCCGCTGATCAATGGATCATGAAACAAATCCTCATGAGTTGTATCATCAAGATCCAGAGAACTTGCATCATAATCAATACCAATAGAGCGGAGCCAGACAAATCCACAACGACATTAAAATCATCCCGCCTCGACTAATAAAATCTTGATCATGTCTCTCGGAATCATCAATAAGATCACATAATTCAAAAGGGGCAGGTGAGGGTATAACGTTAATCCATGAAAATTATCATCCAGAAGTGTTGACTTGGCAGAAACAGTAGAAGAAAAATAGATACTAAGATATTGTTTGTTTTTTAAAAGGTAAAACGTCTGCACCACATCTGCGTTCTATGTGTGCGCGTAAAATCGTGATCTCATGACCGACCGATTAGCATTTGGCTTGATTCAGTTTTGTGAATAATAAATATAATATAAAAAAAATGGGCCCTGTTCCCATGCCCACTTTGCCCCTGCCCCTTAATCTGTTTTCTGTCAACCCCTTAGAGCTTCGACCGGAGGGAGGAGTCGCGGTTGGAATCAACGAGAGGATTCGTGAAGGTAGATGGAGATGGATAATCTCGTCTTGCTCTCCAGATGATAATGGAGTGATCAAATTTAATTTCAAAAGCTTGCCTTGAGGCGTGATTTTCAGTGGTCGCTTGCGTAGGAGGAAGAAAAGAAGAATGCGGGATTTTTTGGCAAAGAGGCAAAGAACTGAAGAAGGAATAAGGAGCGTCTTATTTCTCAGTCAGCGTTATTTATGTGTATCACTGATTGCATAAGATCAAGTGGCATGGGCTTATCAAACCCACTTATTCACCACCAAAAAGATTAGTTATGTGGGCCTGTTTATTATTTCATTAAAACTAATTGGGCTTTATATTTTTGATATATATAAAGATTTTAGACTACGTGTGTTTCTGTGTTTGGATTTTTAAATTAAGAATAGCTCAATTCTTTTCCTAGATGATGATGTGGTTGGAGAGCTAAACATTGTAGACACATTTTCACTTAGCATTCTCCAAATTATCCACGTTGATATTTTTTAGATAATTCATTTGCATATGTTTAACTATACCTTTCTTTTCTAAATCTTTTTGCAGATTAAAGTTTTCACTAAATCCTTCAAAGTCTATGAGTGTCATACTTGTACTTCCTGTTTAGACATCACATAATTTTAAGTTCATCATCATCCTTGTGGTGATGAGTATGTTTGTGTTTTATAAATTTTTTAGAGTTGGAAAATTGTAGAAAACAATATTTATTGGTTTTTCAAAGTTCACCAACCTCATTGTAATTTTGAAAAATGGAAAATATTCACTTTCGTGCAAATTTTTTGAAAAAAATGTTAACTAACAAGTTCTTAAAATTCTTGTTTTTCTTAAAAATTTATTTCCATACATCTACTTATGTTAGATTTGGTGTAAATTGTGAGAAGTTGGGGGTATTTTAGTCATCTACTTATGTTAGATTTGGTGTAAATTGCACCAGTTGAATGTTCTGATTGACATTGCCGAATAAAAACATATAAAATTAAGGGATTAATGACAAAACTACCATCCCAAATGGTCATTTATATACATCTAACCAAATTTTAACACATTTTCCAAAATGACCTTATAGTTCTAAATAATAGAAGGTTTTATAACCAACTAATAACAACACTAAATGGCTATTATATCCGAAATTAATAATAAATAAAAAACTTGCTTCAACTTGGAAATTAAAGCCACATGCAATGAAAGTGATGCAAAAACCACATAGCACAAATGCAACACATTTTTGGAAAGGATGCATGGAAACAACATGATCGAATGCAATAGAAGGGTTTAGGAGCATCATTAACATTAGCATTCCTTGTATTTAGTCTTTGAATATGTGTTTGTGAAACAAGATAAAAAAAGAAGGCAACACAAACACCTACAAACCAAGTTTTTCAGTGAATCTCAAGCAAACATCAACCTCAAAATCATTCCATTCCACCAAACTTTTTTCTTAACAAGAATGCAACTATCGTTCCAATGTTCTTCCTTACCTACCTACCTACTAAATGCAATAGAAGCCAAATAAATCTACCGTTTGATTATAAGGGAGTTTAATTTATGGTCTTTATCCATCCCAACATATTATTGGTGAGAATGGCAGCATCTTCACACAAACTAGAAAATTTTGGTTGCATAGCAGACATGAGTTATCAATCTTTCAATGCACATATTTCCTTTTTGATGGTTAAATTGACAAAAAAAAAACTTTTAAATAGTCAATTTTCACGGCTTTTATAGAATTGAAAGTTTTATGTAGTATTTAAAAATATATATAATAACCAATGTTATCTTTCTTTTTAGATCTCATCCACTGAAAAGGATCATGAAGCAAATCCTCATGAGTTGTGTCATCAAGATCCGGAGAACTTGCATCATAATCAATACCAATAACAAGACATTAAAATCATCCTGCCTCTTAGAATTTGTAGGACTAATAAAATCTTGATCATGTCTCTCGGAATCATCAATAAAATCACATAATTCAAAAGGGGCAGGTGAGGGCATATGATTACTATTCACTTCTCCCATAGACGAAGCATCATCTGAGATTATACCCGTTAGATTAGTTTCAATGCAAACGCGGTTAGTAAAAAGGTTCTCTTCCAAATCATCATCCATATACACAATGCTACCGTATTTATTGACAATATTTCAGAAATTTACTTTGCTCCAAGTTCTCAAAGGAACTCCTTCAATGTCAATCCAAACGAGGCGTTCCTTAATAATGAAATCTCTGGTCCAAGGGTTCAACTCCTTAAACCATGAGGAGACCGTTTTGTGTTGAGTAAAGTTATGACAGGCCTTATAAAAATTCATCTTGATCTGAGCTTTAGGAGAGGATGAGCAACAACAAGGAGAGGGACATAGACGGGATGTAGAAGTACTTGATGTTTGGCAAAAAAAAAAAAGGCAAACCACTCGACCATTTCTGCAGTTTACTGTTATATTATTTTTAATACTTGATGTTTAAATTAAAGTTTTTTACAATAACGTTAATCCATGAAAAGAAGTGTTGACTTGGCAGAAGCAGTAGAAGAAAAATAGATCTTAAGATATTGTTTGTATTTCAAAAGGTAAAACACTAAAACGTCTGCAGTCAGCTGACCACATCTGCAGAAAAAGAGGTGGACCAAACGTTAGCATTCTGCAAGAAAAATAATGTTTTTTTTAAAGTCTGCAAGCTGCTAAAAGAATTGAAGTTTATAAAAAATAATTTCTTTAAGCTTAAAAGATTGCAATCTTATCTAATTTTCTAACGTAATTTGTAAAATTTAATAATGATATCCTAACTCAACGACCCTTTTGATTTAACCATAACTTATAATCTCATCGTCTGTCGAGTTGAGTTTGTAGTCTCCAATATCCATCCCAACATATTATTGGTGAGAATGACAGCATCTTGACATAGACTAAGAAAAATTGGTCGCAACACATCGCTCTTTGATGCAGACAGCCGAGATATCAACCGTTGAATGCGCTCAAACAATGCACGCATATCCTCCAACCATGTAACTATGGGATGAGTCTCTAATCCCCTCTGCATAATATTATATCTTCGCCTTAACGATGCCATCATGCGACAATTCTCTAGTTCTACAATTACCCTTTGCTGAAGCATTGCCATCATTTTCCTAAGCTTATATTGCAATTCCCATGCCCAGAGCATCATCCAGACTTGTGGTTTGCCATGTTCATCCATATGAGCCATGTCAGTCTCAATATCTGTATTTGCTTTACACTCCTTTACCAATATCCTCAGGTGTCTCACAAATACATGTGCTAATGCTATATCCCCCATAACTATAATCTCCTGCAAGTCGTAAAAAATTTCAAGTTTTTGTAATGTTACAATGTTATAAACTAGGAAAAATATAGCATTGTGTAGATACCTCACGTGAGACCATTGGGAAGATGGAACTTGGAGAATTATCATCATAGTTTTTTATTTCAGTACATGTGGTTACTTTTTCCAAGTATACTATTTCTTGAGTACTTGGTACAAACTTTACTATCTTTGCATTTGCCAACACACAAGTTTTATATGGGCTTACTTCCATGCCTGAAGAAAAACGCTGCACAAAATATAACAAAACCAAATTACATATATGCATGTTTATACTTTTTTGTTTTTTTACGTGCTTTTTAGATTTTTTATGTGCAATTGGCCTAGGTGGTGTTGGTTTTGAAAAAAATTGGTTCTCAAGTTCTCACATACCGCTGATTTCCTCATCCTCCGTTTGACATTCCTAAATCTGGGCCGCACCTGCACAGTCAAGAAACCAAACACAACTTGAAATTAAACACAATAAATAGTATGTAATGTCACATATAATAAAAATGATAAAAACAGTTTCCTAAACACTGTTGAACGGATATGTCTGTTTTTTTTTTTTTTTTTTTTTTTCAGAATTCTGAATGAACATGTAGTTATGGAGGGTTATTTCATCTTGAAGTAGAGCAGCCAAATGCAACAACTCCTGGTATACCTCTATTGAAAAAAGACGCTGCAGAAAATAAAACAAAAAGAAATTAGATATAGATTAATGTCATCTTTATAACCACACACACACACACACACACATATAGTTATGGAAGGCTATATCATCTTCAAGTAGAGGCTAGCCAAATGGAAGAATACCTTGTTTTGTGAAAGAAAAATAAAAGTGTATTTTCCATTGTTGAGATTAAAAGATGAAAGAAGCAAATCCAATACCTGGAGAATCTGCAAATTAAGTGTAAGAAGCTTGACACTATGGAGCTGTTGAAGCAGAGAAACTATTTTATGAGCATCTGCATTCCCTGCATCATAGAAATAGATACGAACCTTCTCCAAAGAATGGAAACCTGGTTTTGTACAAGTAAAACTCTGGCATGGATGAAAACCTTCTATGACCAAGGAGGTAAGCCCAGGTGCAGAAATCAGATGTTCCCCTTGGCACCATTTAATAGTGAGATTCTTGAGTTGAGGTGCAACCACATTCACACCCTCCTGTAATTCCATATCCGGGGGTGTAGATACAAGTGTAAGATCAGAAAGTCGAGGATGACAGATAGTTAAAACTTCCATCTCCTCCATTAATGTGCATTCTTTTAAGATGAGGTTCTTCAAGTTAGTGCACTTGGAGAAAAGGTCATCAGACATGAGTTTGACACAGTGAAGATGCAATGTGGTTAAAGCTGGGAGGTCCCACTTTGGTGTCACAATGAAGGAATATGGGAATATAATCGAATTCCCAGGCGCACGTATAACACTCAGTTGTTGGAGATTGTGAGAGAATGCGAAGCTGAGAATTCTCGAGACAGATTCATCGTCCGTAACTGTTCTCCCAAGTAACAGACTGACTGAAGAAACTTGTATTTTTTTATTGCGGTTAGACAAAACATTAGAAATAAATTTGGAGAGGTGGGGCCGATCATTGAGATTTTCAAAATTCAAGTCAGGCATTGAAGTCCAGATAAACTTCCATCTAGACGACAAAACACAGGTTCTGATAGCATCTTTAATGCTCATAAAAGAAAAGATTTCATGGATAAGATCATCCGTCAGGCTGCTTAGTCTATCATCGCCTCCTTCTACATCTATTGATTTTTTTCTTTTTCTTACAGATCCCACCAGATCATTGTTATGCATTATTCCCTGCAATGCAACAACAATCAATCAGGACATACAAAACAAACAAACCAAATTCTACAATTAACCAGGTTAGTTATGAAGAAAAAAAAAACTAGGTTAGAACTTTTTATACTCACAGGAGAATGAGGGAATGCAAAAAATTCGAGAGCAACGATGAAGGGGAAGACAGTCTGTGTTGTGTCGTATGTCGATAGCTTTTAAACTTAAAGACCCAATTGCACAAAGGTTGGGATGGAAGCGAAGTGTTGGGGTGTCCGCCCGTTAACCAATCTTGGGAGTTTTATAGGAGCAGTTCGCTATGGAAACGAAACCGACAAATAGACGCCCCATCACCGATTACCACAAAAGTGTGGTCTCGTACACCCAATGAATGGTGCTATACTTTAGGTTTTTTTTGTTAATTAAATAAAAACTATAATTTTAATAAAAATCATTCATTTCATTACTTCAAAATAAAAATAACATTACCTTCCATTGTCCAAATAGAAATCCTACAAACTTTAAAAAAAACACTAGAAATTTTAAACCTACAAACTCAAAAAAAACATACATTAAACGATTTAAAATAAACGCACTACATGAAGTCGTCCTCTGAAAACTCGTCTTCCGGGTCCTCCTCCGGATCCAAATTGAGGTCAATGTGTTGCATCTTGTAAATGTGTTCCACCAAATCAATACGAAGATTGTGAAATGTTTCATTGCAACGAACCTCTGCTCTCTTTTCAATGTACTCGTCGCCCCCAATTTCTATTCTTTGTGTCGCGGGTATGGTTTCCTCTTCATTATACTCACATATTGCTCTTCCTTCATTTTTGATAATCATATTATGCAGTATTATACATGCATACATGACTTCATGCATTTTTTCCTCGCTGAAAAAAATTGCTGGTTTTTCAATATAAACCAACGTTTCTTGAGAGCTCCAAAAGCCCGCTCGACATTTCTTGAGTTTTCTTGAATTTTTTCCGACGAGCATCATTCGGACACGTAAACGATTTAACAAAAACTGCATACTCAGGACAGATCCCATCAACTAGATAATAACCATATTTATATGGTGTTCCATGCAATTGGAAGAAGAATCCGGTGCAGATCCGTTGTATATGTTGTTAAATATAGGTGACCAATTAAGAACGTTAATGTCGTTGAAGGATCCAGGAGAACCAAAAAAAGCATGTCAAATCCACCGATCCTGTGATGCCACCGCTTTAAGTATGACCGTTGGATGCCCATGATTACATCGAGTAAATTGACCATGGTGTGAGGCATAACAATTTTCCCATGCCCAATGTAGACAATCTAAACTTCCTAACATTCCACGAAAGCCATGTACGCTGCCCCTTTCTAAGTTGAATAACAACCCCATCATTGAACCAGAATTTCTCAACCGCCGAACTCACCCTACGAGCCAACCATCTCAAATTCACCATTATGACCTTGAAGAATTCCTGTTCACCCCAAGGTCTTCGATCAATGTCCACTTGTCGTGGAGGCACTCATCATTTTCAAACATAACACATGCATTATCTCGCTCTGCACCTCGTCTCAATCACTAACAACCTTGGGCTCAATGAATTCTCACCGCCGGTCTCTATATCCAGATCTCTAACCATTCTCGTTCGAATCTCTGATTCCCCTCAATAAAATACTCGGTCCTCGCTCACTTAGGGTTCGAACCGTCCCCAATCGGCGCACCCGCAATCTATCACACCGACTGCTTCCACCAGTAATCATCGCACCTACTCTTGGAAAGGTGCTACGAAACGCTCGATGATCTCCCGACAGAGATCGAGCAGCTCCAAATGCCCTGAAACTCAGATGAAATCATCAGAACTTCCCACCATGACTGCCTCTAGTCATTCAAAATCTCACACCATTCCATCACCGGACCTCCCAAGTGTCCAGTATTAACCCTGACTCTTAGTCTGGAAGTAATGATCTATCGTAATCCTCATCATCGACTCCTCAACCAACATTCCATCACGTCACTTATCATAAGAGCAGAAACCATATTTCCACTATTAATACCCATCAAAGACAATAAGGGCCACCGCCCTGATATACTCCTCTTGATCATCCGACGCTGCAGCTAACACATGCCCTACTATACTCAATTAGGGTGTATCCTGGTCCTTGACCATCTCAGTCCCCACTGACGACCTGATCAAGCTATATCTTTACCTCGCGACATACCTACTACCATATACTCTGGTTGGAGATCACCATCCGTGCAATCCCACAGGGCTCACCCCCAACTCAAAAACCGAAATCTCATTACCTCTTACGTCTCCCCCAGGAAACGGAAATAACACCACTCGGGTCACAGAAAGTGACATCTCCACTATCGGCCGGTCGCCCAGCCCAAACCGTATTCTCCCATAATGCACCATCCCTACTCATCCCTGAGTCTTGCGACTCCAACTGGCATATCACCCACAATCCCTCGGAGCTCACTCGATATCCCTTTTTAAGGGATGCTCCACTAAAACTTGTTCATCAAGGCCTTCTGGCCCCATACTCATTCACTTCTGATCTCAGTCTAGACAATCCCCACGGAATAACCGGTAAAACCAGGAATACTAACCGCCACATGCCATGGTACTCAAACCGCGTGGCCACCTCTCGATCTGCTATGAATCATGGTACCTGCACCATGTTATTCCCTCTTAATCTTATACGAATCATGGTACTCGAACCATGTTCCCTCTTCTCATTCCACCTCACATCATGGCACTCGAACCATGACATCACCTCTCGACCTGCTACAACTCATGGTACTCGAACCATGTCATCACTTCTCAACCCGCTACTTATCATGGTACTCGAACCATGTCATCATTCCTCAATCCGCTACTTATCATGGTACTCGAACCATGTCATCACTTCTCAATCAGCTACTTATCATGGTACTCGAACCATGTCATCACTTCTCAATCCGCTACTCAAAATTCTCTAGATTAGCCTTCCGGATCGTCGCGGTCATCTCGTCATGAATCATACGACGAATCTCATCATCGCTAACACCGCTGCTCTCCGACGTGTGCGGTGTACCAACCATGATGTCTCTGAAACACAACACAAAGATACCAGAGACTCGATCGAGTATACTCGCACTCGATCGCCCAACCCTACTTGTTCCTTGGTACCCTAAGGATTCTTACTTGGACTGCTCACTGATCTGGTGTCTTCAGTGGTACGGGCCCTATACTACCGTCCACACCGCATCAGTATTCACCCCAAGTCCTCCTCCTAGGATCCCAGATCACAAGTACTCTACACCTCGCTAGCATAGGCTACCCTTCGGTAGACCCCTCATAAGCTCCTCACTGCTACCTACTCACTCTCAAGCATCACATAGCAGCAGAAATCTTCTTAGGCTAAGGCATCACAAATCAGGCCACTCTAGTCCTAATATGAATACCTAGCCTACTCTAGCATGCATAACATATCATATCATATCTCATAATACATAATGTAAGGGTATATTGGGAAATCACCGTTCGGGCGCTGGCTGGTCGTATACACTGCTCCTTTATGCTTTTCTCAAAGTCTTTTACTCTTTTTTTTAGAAAAATTGTTCCTTTTTATGAAAACTTTCTGAAATCCTCAGTTTGAGTTCAGATACGCCCGAAGGTGCATCCGAATCCCTCAAACCAAGGCTCTGATACCAACTTGTAACAACGTAAATTTCCAAAACAATTTTTCACTTTTAAAAATATAATTTCATTCATAATTGTCATAAATCTCCATGTATCACATATCAAATCCATAAAATTCATCCCAAGATCACAATACATAAAAACTCCACAAGTGTGTACGGATCATGCCGGCGCCTTCCCGCGTTCCTCGCTAGTACCTGAAACACATAACACAACAACTGTAAGCATAAATTCTTAGCGAGTTCCCCAAAATACCACATACACACATACGCCACTCAAGGCTAGAAGACCTTCCGGTCTCTGTGTCTCAGGGGACTTCCGTCCCATAACCCTGGTAGATCTTCCGGCCCTACCTGTAATGACCTTCCGGCCCATATCACTCTGACCTTCCGGTCCATATCACTCTGACCTTCCGGCCCATATCCTCCTGACCTTCTGGTCCACATCATGACATACATAACACATACATATCACATAACAACATACAATACATACACCTCATAGCATACAAGACCTTCCGGTCACACATAGGTACCTTTCCAGGTACAGTATAGTGAGAAGACTCACCTCGGGTAACTCGGATAATCTCGCACACGGATATACTGATCTAGCCCCCGCCTAATCATATAAACAATATCCTCAAATAAATAATGGCTCTCAAAGGCTAGATTAAATCCCTTTCTACAACCCCACAGAAGGGTAAAAGACCATTTTACCCCTCCTTGACCCAAAAGTCCAAATGTTGACTAAAACCCTAAAAGTCAACAGGGGCAGTACGCGGCGCGTACCAGCTCTTGTACGCGGGGCGTACTCTGGTGATCCAGAATCGGGGTCTCAAACCCTTACGTTGCGCGTTCTGAGAGTTACGCCCAGCGTAAGTCTCAGCTTCATCCTTTCTCGGATTTTGGTCTTAAACGGTTAAGACATAAACTCAAACTCTAGATCTGACTTCTCTAAGATCACTTAATCCATAAAGTCGAGACCTTTAAGCCTTTGCATGGCTGTAAAGGTCCCTAATCACTCTAACACCTTTCCTTCTTCCTCATAAAGTCTAGATCTCATGCATGGCTCAATATTCACGTCCAAGATTGGATTTTTATGAACATACAACTCATATTACCCTGAAATATGGCAGATCTAGGCCAATGAAGACCATTTGCTCATAAAGTCTCCACCTTGGGACCAAAAACCCTAGAAATTGGTCCAAGAAGCACAAATCAAAATGACAAGGAAATCTTTGAGCTTTTTACCTCAGAAAGAAGCTCCATCCTCTGAAGAATTCGGATCTACTCTTGTCTACCAACTTCTAGCTCCTAAAATGGCCTCCTCTTCTCTTTCCCACCTTGAAATGACACTTTCAAGCTTACGAACACACACACAAGCTTATGACGGGTTTTTGCTCTCTTAGGGTTTCACTCACTGAAGTATGGTGGCTGGGGATAAGGCCATAACATTCCTTTTATAGAGTACAAGCCTCAAATTAGGGTTTGCATCTGGGCCCGCTACGCCCAGCATACCTAGGCGAGTCCGCATCGTACTCTTCAGTACGCCCAGCATACTCATTTGCCTTAATATTTCCTTTAAGGGTTAAACTTGACAACTTGGAAAAGAAGAAGGGTTTAAGAGACGCTCCTGAATTATGGGATGTTACAAAATTAAAACAAAATTTTTGGTCTATATTTTTGGGATGTTTCAAGTTGGTATCAGAGCCTTGGTTTGAGGGATTCAAGCACACTCTTGGGTGTGTTTGAACTCAAACTACGGACATGGTATGAAAATTTTCGAAAGGAAATCATTTTTATAAGTTTTTTTATGACATGTTTATGAGAACTGCATGCTAGATTAGGACTAATGATCTAGGAAGGATGCCTTATGTGCCTGTTATATGTGTATCAGCTTTATGAGAACTGCATGCTAGATTAGGACTAAGGATCTAGGAAGGATGCCTTATGTGCCTGTTATATGTGTATCAGCTTTATGAGAACTGCATGCTAGATTAGGACTAAGGATCTAGAGATGATGCCTTATATGCCTGTTATGGGTATCTCAGCTTTATGAACTGCATGCTAGTATATAATAGTCAGTGATGGCCTGAATGTGATATGATTGATTATGTTTACTCGATGCTCGAATGCTGCTTGCTCAGTGCTTTTAGGAGTTCTAG